TCAACGCCCCCGTGGCCCGGTCTGTGACCAGGCCTCCTGGTGGATCAGAGCCTGATCAACCAGGCTGTTGCTGCTGGCTGCACGCAAACCAACGTACGAGCCACAGCCCGGCTGGTCAGGAACCGACTTTAGGTGCTTGTCCAGTGCCAGCTTGAAGACTGCCAGGGGTCTGTTGGTAATCCCCCTTATGTATACTGGGAGGCAGCTGAACAGTCTCGGGCCCCTGACACTTATTATATGGTCTCTTAACGTGCTAGTGACACCCCTGCTTTTCATTGGGGGGATGGTGCATCGTCTGCCAAGTCTTTTGCTTTCGTAGTGAGTGATTTTCGTGTGCAAGTTCGGTACTAGTCCCTCTAGGATTTTCCAGGTGTATATAATCATGTACCTCTCCTGCCTGCGTTCCAGGGAATACAGGTTTAGGAACCTCAAGCGCTCCCAGTAATTGAGGTGTTTTATCTCCGTTATGCGCGCCGTGAAGGTTCTCTGTACATTTTCTAGGTCAGCAATTTCACCTGCCTTGAAAGGTGCTGTTAGTGTGCAGCAATATTCCAGCCTAGATAGAACAAGTGACCTGAAGAGTGTCATCATGGGCTTGGCCTCCCTAGTTTTGAAGGTTCTCATTATCCATCCTCTCATTTTTCTAGCAGATGCGATTGATACAATGTTATGGTCCTTGAAGGTGAGATCCTCCGACATGATCACTCCCAGGTCTTTGACGTTGGTGTTTCGCTCTATTTTGTGGCCAGAATTTGTTTTGTACTCTGATGAAGATTTAATTTCCTCGTGTTTACCATATCTGAGTAATTGAAATTTCTCATCGTTGAACTTCATATTGTTTTCTGCAGCCCACTGAAAGATTTGGTTGATGTCCGCCTGGAGCCTTGCAGTGTCTGCAATGGAAGACACTGTCATGCAGATTCGGGTGTCATCTGCAAAGGAAGACACGGTGCTGTGGCTGACATCCTTGTCTATGTCGGATATGAGGATGAGGAACAAGATGGGAGCGAGTACTGTGCCTTGTGGAACAGAGCTTTTCATCGTAGCCGCCTCGGACTTTACTCTGTTGACGACTACTCTCTGTGTTCTGTTAGTGAGGAAATTATAGATCCATCGACCGACTTTTCCTGTTATTCCTTTAGCACGCATTTTGTGCGCTATTACGCCATGGTCACACTTGTCGAAGGCTTTTGCAAAGTCTGTATATATTACATCTGCATTCTTTTTGTCTTCTAGTGCATTTAGGACCTTGTAGTAGTGATCCAATATTTGAGACAGACAGGAGCGACCTGTTCTAAACCCATGTTGCCCTGGGTTGTGTAACTGATGGGTTTCTAGATGGGTGGTGATCTTGCTTCTTAGGACCCTTTCAAAGATTTTTATGATATGGGATGTTAGTGCTATCGGTCTGTAGTTCTTTGCTGTTGCTTTACTGCCCCCTTTGTGGAGTGCGGCTATGTCTGTTGTTTTTAGTAACTGTGGGATGACCCCCGTGTCCATGCTCCCTCTCCATAGGATGGAAAAGGCTCGTGATAGGGGCTTCTTGCAGTTCTTGATGAACACGGAGTTCCATGAGTCTGGCCCTGGGGCAGAGTGCATGGGCATGTCATTTATCGCCCGTTCGAAGTCATTTGGCATCAGGATAACATCGGATAGGCTTGTGTTAATCAAATTTTGTGGCTCTCATAAAAAATTAATTTTGATCTTTGACTCTCAGTCTGGTTAGCGGCTTGCTAAAAACTGAGTCATATTGGGACTTGAGTAGCTCACTCATTTCCTTGCTGTCATCTGTGTAGGACCCATCTTGTTTAAGTAGGGGCCCAATACTGGACGTTGTTCTCGACTTTGATTTGGCATAGGAGAAGAAATACTTTGGGTTTCTTTCGATTTCATTTATGGCTTTTAGTTCTTCCCGCAATTCCTGACTCCTATAAGATTCCTTTAGTTTAAGTTCGATGCTTGCTATTTCTCTGACCAGTGTCTCCCTACGCATTTCAGATATATTGACCTCTTTTAGCCGCCTAAACTTATAGAATATCATCCTTCTCATAAAATGAATCAGCAGGAAAGGCTTGAAGTTAATCAGAAGATGCAGTCTCCAGTTATTGAAAAGAAATCAATATAGTAATTTATATAATAAAATTAACAAATTTTGACTTACACAGGCCAGTTACAGTGCAAACCTTATGTTGAGGAAAACACACCAGTTTTTAAAGTCTGAAGCTGATCAGAAGAGAGTTTCTCAAGTTATCACACAGAAACTAAAACTGGTAACACTGCTAGAGAGCACTTGCACAAGCCAGTAGTTGCATGAACCTTTCCCTATCTATGGTACACAAACAATAAAAATTTGAAGCTGACTGCATGAAATGTTCCCATATTATAAACAAAAACCCTGAAGGACAAAAAAATCAGGCAACCATATTAAGGTACCCCTTTGGATACCTAAAAAACTAAATATAATTTAGTCATTGAACAATCAATAACTAAATGTAATTCAGTCACTAAGCAATCTGAGATAGATACCTTAGTGTCCTACTGCAAGTCCCCTCAATCTCAATGCACATACAAGGATTACTTATGGACAGTCATGGAATTCTAATGCAGCAAAATATAAAAACATTATACATATGCATGTGTACTCACATATATGTGGTTGCAGGTGTCAAGGCCCAGCTCCTGGCCCCATATCTCAACCTGACACTTACCTCATTCACCCCCCCCCCTTAGCCTCGTGGGCCCTATTGTACCTGCTCTTCAAATCATGTATGGAGTCTGCCTCCACCACTTCCTCACCAAGATCACTGCACATTTTGACTCATTATTATTATCCTGAATTCACAAAAAAATCAGTAAAGCTCCACAGATTATATTCATAGGAAGCACTAAGCCAATACAGTAGGGCCCCACTTATACGGCAGGTTAGGTTCCAGGCTACCACCATAAAGCAGAAATCGCCGTAAAGTGGAACACCCTTTTTTCCACTTATAAATGCATACAAATACTAGATAACAAGTTTACACTAACATATATTAAGTTAACAATAGAACTAGGCATAAAAAAACAATAAAAAAGTACAATACACACATAGTGCACTCATTACTTACACTAAAATATTTATAGTCTTAATCTAGGGTGAGACAAGTAGTATTTATTGTAAGAAATCAAGTGTGGTATGTATGGTAGTCAGCCGGGCTACCATACCAGGCCACCCCACCTACACATAATATTCTATTACATTTAAGCATCCCAGAGTGATAAAATGCACATACAGTTTACTAATTACTTACTTTAAAATATTTATAGTCTTAATCTAGGATGAGATGAGTAGTATTTATTGTAAAAAATCAAGTGTGGTATGTATGGTAGTCAGCCGGGCTACCATACCAGGCCAACCCACCCACACATATATTCTATGATATTTAAGCATCCCAGAGCAATAAAATGTATATACAGTTCACTCATTACTTACCTTAAAATATTTGTAGTCTTAATGTAGGGTCAGGAGTAAGTAAATGAGATAAAACGAATAAATGAGAGAGAAAGAATGAGTACATGAGAGAGGACAGGCGCAGTTATGTAAACAAACCAGGCGAAGGTAAGTTTTGTAAACAAACAAAGTGTACAGGTCTGATTTGTGTACAAGTTACATTGTGTACAGGTTGTCTATACATTGATACGGTAGAATAAATAAAGAAGAACACTCCCATTCTCATGTAACATCATTTTGAGAAGAAATGACGCTCTGAGTGAAGGCAATGGAAATAAGTCAACCTGTCTGACTTTTTTGGGTTATTCCAGGTTCTCTACACGTATGCTGTTATGTATGATAATCTATGTAACTGTATTTGTGGCCCGGTGGCCTGGTGGCTAAAGCTCCCGCTTCACACACGGAGGGCCCGGGTTCGATTCCCGGCGGGTGGAAACATTTCGACACGTTTCCTTACACCTGTTGTCCTGTTCACCTAGCAGCAAATAGGTACCTGGGTGTTAGTCGACTGGTGTGGGTCGCATCCTGGGGGACAAGATTAAGGACCCCAATGGAAATAAGTTAGACAGTCCTCGATGACGCACTGACTTTCTTGGGTTATCCTGGGTGGCTAACCCTCCGGGGTTAAAAATCCGAATGAAATCTTATCTTATCTTATCTTAACTTAACTTACATACATACGAAAGGAATAATTTTCTACAGTTACCCACAGTAACACATTTTCTCTTGTGTTAGATTAGAGAAAATGTTATTTTTGGCATCACTTGTACAAGTTATCTGGCTAGGACATCTCATATTTGTTTATTTATTCTATTGTGGGGTGTATTTATCATATTTATATGTTATGTATCGTGTTTATTATATAATTTTGAAAAAATATCATAGATTGATTAATGAAAATGTGTATATTAACGTAATATACGACATTTAAATGACTCGGTGATTATTATTATCATTACTAATATGACGTCTGGAGACATAAAACACTTACTGTTTTTAATGTGTACCTGCATGCCAGCACAGTATGTAAGTTTATTTAAGTACAGGTATACATAAGTATAATTATCAGAGTATATATAAAATATGAAATAACTTTTAAAAACACTTAAAATTTTGGAGTTTCCAGACATAATGGAGAGATTTAGTGCTTACGGATCTCACAGACAATGTAAACAAACCGGGTGGGGTGCGGTGACCGTATTAGAAAGTCAGGTGGGGGGAGCCGTATAGCGAGTTTTGGTCATAATTTGAAATGACCATATTAGAGGAATGCCGTAAAGCGAAACGCTGTAAAGCGGGGCCCCACTGTATAAGAATCCAGAGTACAGTACATCTTCCGTCAGAAACCTTTAGATCACGCCTCATACTGATGAAGATTTAGCTAATAATGCAACCACATAAAGCAATAAGTTTAAGTATCTGCATCAATGGCCCAGATCATGTCACTACAATAAATGTTTATGTTGAGCTGCTCTGCACATTCTCTTGAAACTGCATTGATATAAACAGCTTTGGTGTATTTCTTTATTAATAGCTAATATACATAAACATTTCAGGCTCTCAGAAAATCTAATTTTATATGCATACAGTTTAGGTTGTAAAATACAGTAAAATCTCTCATTAACAGACTAACAGAGGGAAGGGGATATACGATAATACCAACTGTCTACAACTCCTGAATTATGAAATTAATATTTCATATCTGTCCAGTTGTCTTCTGAAGTAGTGGACTTGGTCCGATGATGCAGACGACAACTGGACACTCAGAATACGGGTACTGTATTCTTTAGTACTACAGTACAGTACTGTTCTGTAATTTTATAGTACTCTACATAATTTGCAATAATTTTACTTACCTTTCCATAGTGGAGAAATGAGGTGTAAACTGCTGTAGAACTGTAACCAAAGACTCTCTTAATGACTTGAAGTCACTTGTTCTCAGAAAATAGCATTTGGTGCACCACTTACTATTCTCTCAGACTGAGTGATTAAGATCCTCGTGCAGTACCTCCGGATATAATCCAGGTGGGAGTCGGTAACGCAGGTTAGGGCTGAGAGTTTCGGCAATCGGTCCGCCTGCGACTAAAGCTGCACAAACTGCCACATGCAGAGCCTTTTATTCTGAATTTAGCTTTTACGGGTTGTAATAAGAGTGGGCATGACCCATTCTAGTTCTGTACGTGGCAAAACATTATGTTGAGTTGTCCTCAATAATGATGGCGGTTGATAATGGAGCTCCATTTCGATGCCTTGTGTGTGGTGTGGTGTGTCGGAGTAAGAGTGGATTGTCCATTCATATGCATAGCAAGCATCCTGACGAATATCATAGGGATGTGGAGGGGGCGGTTGCCCATGTGAAGACCAGATGGTCTAAAGAGGAGGAGTATGTGTTGGCTATGGCCAAGGCAAAGATCCTGAGAGAGGCCAGGAGTGCTGGTCAAGGTGTCCCTGCAGGGATAAATTCTTTGTTGGCGAGAGTCCACACCGGGAGATCGGTGGAGGCAATTAAGGGCCACAGGAGAGTGGTCTCATATAGAATTCTTGTTGATAGATTTATGTCCGAAGTGACTGTTGAAGGTGGTGGTATGTGAAGGATTCAAGATGTTGACTGCCAGGAGGCGCGAAGCAATGAAATTGGGGGTGGGGAAAGGTTGTTCGGAATTGAAATCTCCCACAATCTAAGTGTTCCAACAGTACATGCACTAACACAGCACCTACTGGACACAATTAACACTAGTGCATACACGAACACATGTCAGAAACTACAGAACATGATACATTTTGTTACACTTTGTGTGGAGAAGATGTGGGAGGGATATGGGGAGTTTGGTCTTGATGTTTTTAATGATGAGTGTGTTACCTCTGTTCAGAGTACGTATATTGGATGAAATGGCAGAGGCTATGCTTACATATGTGTCCAAGAATAAAGGTGGTGCTGCTCGAAGAGGAAATGCCCCCCAGTATAACAACAATAGGGGTGGTAGAAGAGCTCAAAGAAGACAACTGTATAGAGATCTGCAGAAGCTGTATAATAAGGATAAAACCAAATGTGCGAGGATGGTTCTTGAAGGAAGATGGCGGCACTTGGGTGCCCCTGATCAGCAAGTTGTGGTTAAGGAGCAATTGCAAGACTTTTGGTTAAATTTGTTTGCAAGACCATCTGAAGAAGATGCAAGACCGGGAAGGACACTTGTTGAAGAACAATTATGGCAATTGCAGTTACCTATTGAAGTTGAGTTTAAGAGAGTGGTAACTGCATCCAATGGCAGTTCTGCGCCAGGTCCTGATGGATGGAAGCCTAAAGATCTAAGGATGTTTCCAGAACAGTTCTGGGTTGATTTGTTTAACATCTGGTTGTATATTGGATACCTACCGAAGGTATTCAGGAAGGCCAGAACTGTCTTGCTGCCCAAGGTTGATTGTCCGGAAGAACCAGGTCAGTACAGACCCATCACTATATCCAGTATCATCGTTAGAGTATTTCATAAAATATTGGCAGCAAGATATGTCCATTGGGTTCCCCTCCATATGGCGCAGACAGCGTTCCTGCCCACAGATGGCCTGGCCCAGAATGTGATGTTGTTGGATGCAATAATTAGTGAGAGTAAAGAGAGAATTAAGCCACTTTATGCTATATTTTTAGATGTAAAGAAAGCCTATGACTCGGTTAACCATTCCTCGGTGAGGAGGGCACTTCAGATTCATAATGTGCCTCCCTTGGTGATCAGTTATATTATGTCAACGTTTAAGGATGCGTCTACTGAGGTTATGGGAAAAGAGGGGAATGTGTGTAGAGGTGTGAAGCACCCTCTATCATGTATCCTCTTTAATATAGTAATGAATGAAGCACTATTGGCATTAAATGAGCAAGTTGGATGGCCAATACGTGATGCCGAGTCTAAAGTGTCTGCTTTGGCTTTTGCTGATGATGTGGTCTTGGTTGCCGAGTCTGAGCAGGGCCTTCATGCACAATTGCAGCTGTTTTTGAAGTATTTAGAAGTATCGGTGCTGGAAATAAATCCACAGAAGTGTGCCACGTTGAAGATCCAAACAGTTCCAAGAATGAAGAAGTGGTATGTAGATACGACTCATAAAACAGAGATTTATGGAGCTCAAGTCCATTCTCTGCAGCCAACAGCAGTGTACAAGTATTTGGGAATGCACTTTTCTTCAGCTGGTAGGGGAAAGCCAGATATACAAAAGTTGCATGAGAAACTTACAGCGCTTGATGAGGCGCCCCTGAAACCACAACAACGGTTATATATACTGAATAAGCACCTGATTCCTGGCATCATACATATTATGGTGCTTGGTAGCGTCTGTCAGAATACCTTGAGGACGTCAGACAAAGTAATCAGGCAGATGGTGAGAAAATGGCTGAAGTTACCAAAAGACACATTGGTTGGTGTGTTCTATGCTCCGGCAGCTGCGGGAGGTTTGAGATGTATTTGCTTGTTAACAAAGGTTCCTATATTGCGATGAAACAGGTTGGATGCATTTCACAACTCTGAGGATCACATTATACGGAATCTGGCGTTGCACCCAAACACCCTGAAGGCATTAAGGTTTGTAGGGAGGAGTAGAGTGAAAAATGTGGTGGTGACAATTAGAAGGCAGGAGCTCAAGGAATGGATGAATGTCTTGGTGGGTTCGTTAGATGGGGCTGGACTGAAAGAACATCATTTGGTCCCGCAAGTTCATCGATGGATGACAAATGGAACAAGCTTGATTAAGGGAGCCACGTATATTGATGCTTTGAAGATTAAACATAATTTGATGCCAACTAAGACAAGGCATGCGAGAGGATGAAGACAGATTAACACAACCTGCGAGGGTTTGTCCGCGGCTTCATGGACAGCGGGTCCGACGACATGATAATGTCATGGATGCTATCGCCTCTGACTGTATAACGAAAAAGCATGCAGTGGTCAAGGAGCCACATATTCCAACAGCCCTTGGCACACGTAAGCCTGACCTGTTAATTTGTGACTTGGAAAACAAGAAGGCTTACGTGCTCGACGTGAAGATAGCAAGCGACTCCAGCATTTCAACTATGGCGGATCAGTATCAACGGAAGGTCGAGTACTATGATACTGGCCAGATTAGATGTTGGGCTGCCCTTTGGGCGACCCAGCAGCTTCATCTCTACAACGAATCGCAGGACAACGCTGTGTCGCCATCTACTACAATCAACATACAGCCTATTGACCCTCAAGAAGTTGTCCTTGGAGCAGTGATAATTACCTGGAGAGGAGTTATGTCCCCAAAAACGTACAAAATTCTGAATAAAGAACTTCATCTACCAACTTTGAAAATTGAGTTGTATGTAGTCAAGGCCTTGGAAGGTTCCATAGTGCAGCAGAGAATGCATAACCAGTGGGGTGGCCTAAAGGCACCTTAGTTCTGGTTAGAAAGAGTTATAAGATCTGACTAGTATTGAAGGACTTCTCAACGGGACAGCGGAATGAGAAGAGACCAAGCGGCAAGCCATCCTTGCAGGTGAAAATTTTAAACCTGCTCTTAACATCACGCCGAACAGGACTAAAACAAAAAAACAAAAAAAAAAAAAAAAAAAAGCTCTAATAGTGAAAATAATGTAGATGGCTGAGATGTAGATAGCTGAGATGTAGAAGACTGAGAAAACATAGATGACTGAGATGTAGATTACTGAGAACCACACGCTTTGTCTTGACACCACTGTTTGCTTTAGAGGCCACTGTTAATTACATTTTACTTAATATGTTCATAAAAGTATCACAAAATGCTCAAAATCCAAGGAAAAGTAGAGATAATAACAAGTATAAGCATGAGTTAGCACAAACATCAAACAGGTGTGGGTGACCTATGGCTCAGGGAATAAAAAAAACAGCCAAGACCACAATGTGGCCACTTTGGCCCACACTGAACAAATTTTGGAGTTAAGGAGCTTGGTCTGATACTTGAAAAAACAACCTGATACTATTGCTACAGACAATATCCGGAATAACAATACTTTGTCCAGTAGAGCATTTGTCTGGTCAATTTCTGTCTGAAACTGATGAAATTTCAGAATGAGAGGTGTGTTAATAAGAAGTTTCACTGTAATGCCCTCTGCATTGCTACTACTCTGCACCAACACTTAACTCTGTTTCATTAAAAAAAAAAGAATTAAAACTTACTGTAGCCAAGTATTTAAATAAGGACTCTACACTTACATTTCAAGTGTGGGTGCCTTGACAGCTGATAAATGTTCTTGATCCAAGAAATTGGAGATACCCTCTCCCTCTCTCTCAGATCAAACTTGGTTACCTACCATTCCTCAAACCCTGTATGACCCATACAGATTTACCACTTTCTGCTGAACATAATATTTGTAAATTCTTTACTTCAGGTGGTAAGTGAAGAATGTCCAGAAGGTAGCAATGTTTACACTTCAGGTGACCCTGATGTATTACTGGGTGGGTCCCTATTTGGTTCATCATCAGTAGAAGACCTGCCAGCACTTGGAACCTCAGCAGATGCTTCAGTCAGTCTCTCAATCAAGCGTTGCTGTCGTGCCAGCTTCTTAGCAGCTTTGGATGCCTTCTTATCTTCCATTTCTTTTTTCAGCAGAGCTTCTTTGAACCGTTCATCTTTGGGATCAATGCGATAGCCAAGAATACTTCGCACTTCCTCAATAAGACGTTCCTTCTTTTCCTGAAAATTTATGTGAACAGTTATTTATTTCACAGTAAGAAATGGAGGAAATCTAATAAGTTAATGTACAGTACAGTGGAACCCTGGTTTTCATCTTTAATCCGTTTCCGAAGGTCGGCCGAAAACCGATTTGTACGAAAACTGAAGTAATTTTTCTCATAAGAAATAATGTAAGTCCAATTAATCTGTTCCAGACATCCAAAAATATTAACAAAAAATACATAGTTTTACATACAGAAAACAATGAGTAATAAATAAAAAGCACTAATGAAATGGAAAAATGAACATTTAAATCACTTTTTACCTTTACTGAAGACTCTTGTTAACATATGGAAGATGGCGAGGAGGGAAGAGGGAAGAGAAGTTATCTCTACCACCATCACTACCACCCTCACAACCACTACCACCATCACTACCACCCTCTACAAGTAACAAAGGCACGAATGTATGAGTGACTGCGTCCCACAGGCAGGTGGACGCATCTGGTACAGATGATTTCTGAGCAGATGTACGAAAACGGGGAAAATTTTGCCGAAAAGTGGTTGAAAACTGAATTGTACGATAACCGGACCAGACAAAAACCGGGGTTCCACTGTAATTAACAAGATATTGTTATGCAGTCAGTAATTTGTGAAAAGGCAGGGCAGTTGCATGCCGATTTCATAAAGAAAATGCCTGGAACAAGTGCTGATATTGGTGAATTTAAGGCCAGCAAAGACTGGTTTAAGAGATTTAAGAAGCATAATGGCATACACAGTGTGGTAAGGCATAGCGAGGCTGCCGGTTCTGACAAATATGCGGCAGAAGAATTCGTGCAGGAATTCAAGGACTACATAGAAGATGAAGGATTCATCCCCCAACAAGTGTTTAATTGTGACGAAACAGGCCTCTTTTGGAAGAAAATACCGAAGAGGACCTACATCACGCAGGGGAAAATAGCACTCCCAGGACACAAGCCTATGAAAGACAGGCTAACACTCATATTCTGTGGTAATGCTAGTGGGGATTTCAAAGTGAAGCCTTTACTGGTATATCACTCTGAAAATCCCTGAGTGTTCAAGAAACACAGTATCGCCAAGAGTAAATTGTGTGTCATGTTGAAGGCTAACAGTAAGGTATAGGTCAGGGAAATTTTCCTTGATTGGTTCAATGAAGTGTTTGGCCCGAGTGTGAAGGAATACCTCCTGGTAAAATAACTGCCACTCAAGTGCCTCCTGGTAATGGACAATGCTCCTGCTCATCCTCCAGACTTGGATGACCAAATGGTGGAGGAATTTAGTTTCATCACAGTGAAATTCTTGCCCCCTAATACCACTCCTTTCATTCATCCCATGGACCAGCACATCATTTCAAACTTCAAAAAACTCAACACCAAATGTTTCAAAGGTGCTTTGATGTGACCTCAGACACTCAATTGCTCCTAAGAGAGTTCTGGAAAGATCACTTCAATATTCTCCATTGCATAGGCCTTATAAATAAGGCTTGGCAGGGAGTGACTTCCAGGACTTTGAACTCTGCTTGAAGAAAATTGTGGCCAGATTGTCTTTGACAAAGATTTTGAAGGGACAAAGATTTTGAAGGGTTTGAGGCTGACCCTGTCGATCCTACACCTGTTGTGCAATCAACTGTGGTATTGGCGAATTCCATGGGGTTGGATGTGAGTGGCCAGGATGTGGAAGAGTTGGTGGAGGACCACAATGAAGAGCTAACCACTGAAGAGCTGCAAGACCTTCATCTGCAACAGCAACGGACCACAGCTGAGAAAACTGCTTCAGAGGAGAAGACAGATGGAAGAAGGTGCCTTCTTCAAAGCTTAAGAACATTTGTACAAAGTGGAGTGAGGTGTAAATGTTTATGGAGGAACATCACCCTGACAAAGCTGTTGCAAGCCATGTCGGCAACATGTACAATGACAATGTCCCATTTGAGGCAAATTTTAAAAAGACGCCAGAAACAGAGCTATCTGGAACAATTTTTTGAGCAACTGGGGTCCAGTGACTCTCGAGCTGGTCCTAGTGGCATTAAAAAACAAAGAAAGAAAGTAACCCCGGATAAGGACTTGTTACCTAAAGTCTTTATGGAAGGGGATTCCCCTTCCAAACAATAGTATAACTAATCCATCCTCTCCCTTCCTCCTGTCTTCCATACACCAACAACAGTCTTCAATAAAGGTAAGTGTGATGTTATTTTTTGTTTTATACTTGATGTCTCATTTTTTCTGTATGTAAGTCTATATTTAATGCAAAAACAAATATTTTTTTTATTAATACTTTTGGGTGTCTGGAACGGATTAATTTGATTTACATTATTTCTTATGGGGAAAATGGTTTCGCCATTCATAAATTTCAACTTTCATCACACTCTCTGGAACGGATTAATTATGAAATTCGAGGGTCCACTGTAATAGTAAATAGTAATAATAAAAAATAAACATACTGTCCATATTAGCTGAATGCCGTAAAGTGAAACGCCATAAAGTGGGGCCCTACTGTACTGTATATACAGCACATTCTGTAAAAGTAAGTTTCAATAGTAAGTGTGGTTGTTTCATTTTTGAACAGTGGGAGTATGTGTGATCATTCTAATAACAGATTTTTGTTGAGTTATGAAGTGTTTTAGGGGATTTGCTGTTGTAGATCTTCATGCACATATAGATTACCATAAGTGAGGAAAGGATGAATTATAAAGTACTGAGTAAGTAGAAGTTAGTGTATGAGGACATAACAAATACATAGGTTTCACTGTATTTCTTTTTTCAACAAATCAGCTATCTTCCACCAAGGCAGGGTGATGCATCAGTCATTCCACCACTCTCTTGCTAGAGGGGCATCCATACTACAGTTCAAAACTGCAAATATCCCCATCCCCAGGGCCCAGAGGCCTGGCTGGCAAAGCTCTCGCTTCACACACTGAGGGTCTGGGTTCAATTCCCAGCAGGGGTGGAAACACTGGATGTGTTTCCTTACACCTGCTGTCTTGTTCGTGCAGCAAGTAGGTACCTGGGTGTTAGTTGACTGGTGTGGGTTGCATCCTGGGGGACAAGATTGAGGACCCCAGTAGAAATAAGACAGACAGTCCCTCGACAATGCACTGCCTTTCTTGGGTTATCCTGGGTGGCTAATCCTCCGGGGTTAAAAATCCGAACAAAATTTTATCTTATCACCCCTCCAAAGTGCAGGCACTGTACTTTCCACCTCCAGGATTCAAGTCTGGCTGACCAGTTTCCTTGAATCCCTTCATAATGTTACCTTGCTCACACTCCAATAGCACGTCAAGTCATAAAAATCACTGTATATACAGTACAGTTACTAAAATGAGTGAGAATATTTGTAACAAAACCCTGTATTTTTAAGTTTAAAATGCACTACAGCAAAGGGAAATTAGTCAAATGATTATAGTAAAAAGCAAAATAGATTTTTTCTTAAACATCAGCTATTGTAATTTGAAGTTCTTGCAAGACAGCTATTGCATGAATGATAGTGAATGTGTTTCCTTTTGCAGGTCACCCTGCTTGAGTATAATTAGTGACTTTCTTCTTAGCCTTCAATTTTTTTATTAACATACTAGCCATTTCCCACTGAGGCAGGGTGACCCAAGAAAGAAGAAACACTTTCATCATTATTCACTCCATCACTGTCTTGCCAGAGGCATACTGATACTACAGTTCAAAAACTGCAACAAATCTCCACCCCTCCTTCAGAGTGCAGGCACTGTACTTTCCCCTTCCTGGACTCAAGTCTGGCTACCTGGTTTCTGTGAATCCCTTCATGAATGTTACTTTGCTAACACTCCAACAGCATGTCAAGTCATAAAAGCCATTTGTTTCCACTCACTCCTGTCTAACATGCTCATGCACATGTGCTAGAAGTCTAAGTCCCTTGGACACAAAACCTCCTTTACCCCCTCCCTCCAACCTTTCCTACGATGACCCCTACCCCACCTCCTTCCGCTACAGATTTATATGCCCTCCAAGTCATTATATTTTATTCTATCCTCTCTAAATGTCAAAACCACCTCAACAACCCCTCCTCAGTCCTCTAGATAATTATTATTTTTATTATTATTATCACACTGGCCGATTCCCACCAAGGCAGGGTGGCCCGAAAAAGAAAAACTTTCACCATCATTCACTCCATCACTGTCTTGCCAGAAGGGTGCTTTACACTACAGTTTAAACTGCAACATTAACACCCCTCCTTCAGATAATACTTTTAGAAATCCCGCACTTCCTTCTAATCTCCAAACTAAGGAGTCTCTGCATAATATTTGTGCCACACATTGCCCTCAGACACAACATCTCCACTGCCTCCAGCTTTCTCCTTGTTGCAACATTCACCACCCATGCTTCACACCCATGTAAGAGCATTGGTACCAGTATACCCTCATACATTCCCCTATTTGCTTCCATGGATAATGTCCTTTGTCTCCACAGACTCCTCAGTGTGCCACTCACCTTTTTTCCCCTCATCAATTTGATCGTTCCCTTCGTCTTTCGTACACCCATCTGCTGACAAGTCAACTCCCAAATATCTGAACACATTCATTTCCTATATACACCTCCTCCCTCCAATCTGATATCCAGTCTTTCATTACCAAAATTTTTTGTTAGCCTCATCACTTTGCTCTTTCCTATGTTTACTTTTAATTTCCTTCTTTTACACCCCCCCCCCCAAATTCGTCCACCAACCTCTGGAACTTCTCTTCATAATCTCCCAAAAGTACAGTGTTAGCAGCAGAAAGCAACTCTGACACTCCCACTTTCTGTTCAATTTCTTATCTTTCAATCCCACACCTCTTCCCAACACCTGAGCATTCACTTCTCTTACAAACCCATCTATAAATATATTGAAACAACCATGGTGACATCACAAATCCTTGTCTAAGGCCTACTTTTACCGGGAAATAATCTCCCGCTCTCCTACATACCCTAACTTGAGCCTCACTATCCTCGTACAAATCCTTAACTGCTTTCAGTAACCTACCACCTGTTCCATACACTTGCAACATCTGCCACATTGCTTCCCTATCCACCATATCATATGCCTTTTCCAAATCCACAAATGCAACGAAAACCACTGTAATCGTATCTAAATACTGTTCATTTATATGCTTCACTGTAAACACTTGGTCTACCCTTCAATTGTAACAAATTATATCTGGATTATAATATCAAAATAAAAAATTAAATCAACTGGAATATATAACTACTGTAACTTCTTCATATGGCTCATAAGACATAAAAAATATTTTTTATTTTATTTGTACACAATCAGTGAAGAGCAACTTAGATGCGAGTATTTCATGTTCTTGTATAAAGAGTTGGTATGCAGTTCACACATTCCTGAGCAGAAAGGCAAAGGAAATATTATTTAGAAAGAGAGAAGGATACACCAGTAGCTTCGTGGTGAGAGGGTAATGATTCAGGTTTAGATGTGAAGTCTTGTCTACTGATAACATTATTGATTTTCCTGTGAATTACATCAAGAATCCTAGCATAAAAAAGTATTCGTAGATGTGAGACCTAAAGAAACTGAAAAAGTGAAATAGTTTCAGAACCTGAATGTCCATATGTAAGATACATGGCAAAATAAGAGGTAATCAAAATGTCAAACTAAATGACAGGTCATATAACTATATCAGGTAAATAAAAAAGAAATGGTTTGAAATTAGTAATATAGTAACCAAGAATCAAGTTGAAATACAGCATTCTGAAATAGCTAGATAACTATTATCAATATGACCAGAAATAACTTAAGCACTACACAGTACACACAAAATATTTCTTGGTCGTGCTTTAATATCATAAATTATCATTCTCTGTGATAGTGGATGTCCTAGCCAAATATTACTGAAGATAAACTTAACATTTGCTGTTATGCATTTTCTAAAAAAGAAAGGTAACTATTTGAGCATGGCCCATTAGAGATAAGTAAATCTATTCTATTCATTTTAATACTACCATGCTCTTGGATCTGCTACTGCTGTACAGTGAACCTACCTTAGCTTCCTGTGCCTCTTTCTCCTGCTTTGCTACACGCTTATTTACTTCCATCTTCCATTCTTTCAATTTGGCTACCTTGCGCACAAGGTCTTCTTGCCTGTAATTGCATATATGAAGTCAGCAGTGGAGTGTTTGATCAACTGGAATAATGTATAATACACACATAACCCGCACATAGAAGAGGGGAGCTTACGACGACGTTTCGGTCCGACTTGGACCATTTACAAAGTCACACTAACCAGAAGTGGAGCAGGACGGCTCTATATATAAAATTATATATATATATATATATATATATATATTTATATATATATATATATATATATATATATAGATATGTTTGTGTATCTCTATACGTATATGCTTCTAAACTGTTATATTCTGAGCACCTCTGCAAAAGCAGTGATAATGTGTGAGTGTGGTGAAAGTGTTGAATGATGATGAAAGTATTTTCTTTTTGGGGATTTTCTTTCTTTTTTTTTGGGTCACCCTGCCTCGGTGGGAGACGACCGACTTGTTGAAAAAAAAAAAAAAAAAAAAAAAAAATATATATATATATATAAAATATATATAATATATATATATGGGGAAGGAAAGAGGGGTAGGGGTCGTCCTCGAAAGGGTTGGAAAGAGGGGGTAAAGGAGGTTTTGTGGGTGAGGGGCTTGGACTTCCAGCAAGCGTGCATGAGCGTGTTAGATAGGAGTGAATGGAGACGAATGATACTTGGGACCTGACGATCTGTTGGAGTGTGAGCAGGGTAATATTTAGTGAAGGGATTCAGGGAAACCGGTTATTTTCATATAGTCGGACTTGAGTCCTGGAAATGGGAAGTACAATGCCTGCACTTTAAAGGAGGGGTTTGGGATATTGGCAGTTTGGAGGGATATGTTGTGTATCTCTATACGTATATGCTTCTAAACTGTTATATTCTGAGCACCTCTGCAAAAGCAGTGATAATGTGTGAGTGTGGTGAAAGTGTTGAATGATGATGAAAGTATTTTCTTTTTGGGGATTTTCTTTCTTTTTTTTTTGGGTCACCCTGCCTCGGTGGGAGACGATCGACTTGTTGAAAAAAAATATATATATATATATATATATATATATATATATATATATATATATATATATATATATATATTATATATATATATATATATATTGGAGGAGGAGGAGGGAGGGGAGGAGAAGAGAGGAAGGAGGAGGAAGAGGGAGGAGGAAGAGAAGAGAGGAAGGAGGAGGAAAGGAGGAGGAGGAGGGAGTGAGGAGGAGGAGGAGGAGGAGGAGGAGGGGAGGAGGAGGAGGAAGGAGGGAGGAGGAGGAGGAGGGAGGAGGAGGGAGGAGGAGGAGGGGGGAGGAGGAGGAGGAGGAGGAGGAGGAGGAGGAGGAGGAGGGAGGAGGAGGAGGAGGGAGGAGGAGGGGGGGAGGAGAGGAAGAAGAAGTAGAGAGGAGGAAGAAGAAGGAGGAGGAAGAGAAGAACAAGAACAAAAGAGGAGGAGGAGGAGGAAGAGGAGAAGGAGGAAGAGAGAAGGAGGAGGGAAGAGGAGAAGGAGGAAGAAGGGAGAAGGAGGAAGAAGGAGAAGGAGGAAGAAGGAGAAGGAGAAGGAGGAAGAAGGAGAAGGAGGAAGAAGGAGAAGGAGGAAGAAGGAGAGGAGGAAGAGGAGGAGGAGGAGAAGGAGAAGGAGGAAGAAGGAGAAGGAGGAAGAAAGGGGAAGGAGGAAGAAGGAGAGGAGGAAGAAGGAGGAGGAGGAAGAAGAGGAAGAGGAGAAGGAGGAAGAAGAAGGAGGAGAGGAAGAAGAAGGAGGAAGAGAGGAAGAAGGAGGGAAAGGGGGAAGAAGGAGGAAGGAGGAAGAAGGAGGGAAGGAAAAAGGAGGAGGAAGAAGGAGGAGGAAGGAGGAGGAGGAGAAGGGAGGAAGGGAAAGGGGGAGAAGGGAGGAGGGAAGAAGAAGAAGAGGAGGAGGAGAAGAGAAGAGGAGGAGAAGGAGGGGAGGAGGAGGAGGAAGAAGAAGTAGAAGAGGAGGAAGAAGAAGAGGGATGAAGAAGAAGAAGAAGAAGAAGAGAAAGAAGGAGGAGGAGGAGGAAGAGGAGAAGGAGGAGGAGAGGAGGAGGAAGAAGGAGGAAGAAAGAGAGAAGGAAGAAGAGGAGAAGAGAGGAGATAGGAGAAGGAGGAAGAAGGGAGAGTGAGGAAGAAGGAGAGGAGGGAAGAGGAGAAGGAGGAAGATAGGAGTGGAGGTGAGGAAGGAGGAGAGAAGGAAGAGGAGAGAGGAAGAGGAAGAAGAAGGAGGGAGGAGGGAGGAAGAAGGAGGGAGGAGAGATAGGTAGGGGAGGAAGGAAGAGTGGAGAGAGAAGGAGGAGAGAGGAAGAGGAGGAGAGAAAGTAGGAGGAGTAGAAAGAGGAGTGGAGGGTGGAGGAGAGGGGGAGAGGAGGAGGAAGAAGAGGAGGAGAGGAGGAGAGAGGAGGAAGAAGAGAGAGGAGAAGAAGAAGAGGAGAAGAGAAGAGGAGTGAGGAGTAAGAAGAAGAGGAGGAGGAGGAGGGAGGAGGTGGGAGGAGGAGGATGGGAGGAGGAGGAGGGAGGAGGAGGAGGAGAGGAGGAGGAGGGAGGGAGGAGGAGGAGGAGGGGGAGAGGAGGAGGGGGGAGAGGAGGGAGGAGGAGGAGGAGAGAGGAGGGAGGAGGAGAAGGAGGGAGGAGGAGAGGAGAAGGAGGAGGGAAGGAGAGTAGAGAGTAGAGTAGAAGGAGGGAGTAGGAGTAGTAGTAGTAGGAGTAGTAGGAGTGTAGGTAGGAGTAGTTAGGAGTAGTAGGAGTAGTAGTAGGAGTAGTAGGGTAGTAGTAGTAGTAGGGTAGTATAGTTAGTAGGATGTAGTAGGGGTGGTGGTGGTAGTAGTGGAGTGTAGTAGGAGTATAGAAGTAGATGTAGTGGTAGTAGGGGTGTAGAGTGGATAGTTAGTTGCAGTAGTGTAGTAGAGTAGTAGTAGGATAGTATAGATTTAGTAGTAGTAGGAGTGTTGAGTAGTAGTAGTAGTTGTATAGTATATGTTAGTAGTAGGGAGGTAGGAGAGAGTAGTCTAAGTAGGAGTTAGTATAGGATGTAGTTATAGGAGAGTAGTAGTAATAGTAGTATAGTAGTAGTAGTAGTAGTCTAGCTATAGTATGTAGTTGTAGTAGTAGGAGTAGTTAGTAGAGTAGTAGTAGTAGGAGTATAGTGGGAGTAGATGTTAGTATAGCTAGCTAGTAGTGGATAGTAGGTCAGTGTAGTAGGGTGGTAGTTCTACTAGTATTGATACTATCTTCAGTAGTAGTAGGATTATAGTAGTTTAGTAGTGTATAATATAGTAGTAGTAGTAGTCGTATGTAGTAGTAGGGTATAGGTGTGTGGTGTAGTATGGAGTAGTAAGTAGTAGTCTAGGAGTGGATAGTAGTTACGGAGTAGTAGTAGTAGAGTAGTATAGTTGGAGTGTAGTAGTAGTAGTAGCTAGGAGTAGTAGTAGTAGGTAGTATATATAGTGTAGTAGTGTAGATAGTAGTAGTACAGTAGTAGTGTAGTAGTAGTTACGTAGTAGTAGCGTAGCAGTAGTAGTAGTTAGTATAGTTAGTAGAGCACTAGTAGTTATAGTTATGTAGCTATAGTAGTATAGACTACGTAGATAGTAGACTAGTAAGGGTAGAGTAGCTAGATAGTAGTGGGTAGATCAGTAGTGATAGTAGTAGGTATGAGTTATGTATCCCCTGTGTCGGGATAGCGTAGTAGTGTATCCTATAACCATCAAGACAAGCCAGTCCAACTACAAAGGGGAGCACTGCAGGGAGCTAGGTGCCCCAGAGGGTGAGCAAGTGCCACAGAGGTGGGGGAAGGGGAAGTGATGAATAATAAGCAGGACAGAAACCCCCCCTCCGCTCCCCAAACGGAAAGGGAAGAGGGGAGAAGAAAAAAAATAAGGAATCAGGTTAGTCCGGGTGTTCTGAAGTTTGGAGCATTTTACAATGTGGTGGGAGAGGAAGGCATCTACAGAGACGAAGCCAGGACTAAGATTCATACAAGGAAAGTTGTGTATTAGAGAGGATTCAACTAGACGGCGACTGTTAGAATTGGAAGTAATGAAGACAGTTTTAGCCGAAGACCAGTCAATAGGATGGGTGTGATCTCTGACGTGACAGAACAGAGCATTGTTAGTGTCGGCAAGCCTAACACTATTTTTGTGCTCCCTAAGTCTGTCAGAAAGAGATCGGCCAATTTCTCCAAAGTATTGAAGAGGACAAGAGGAGCAAGAAATAGAGTAGACACCGGCCATCTCCCACTGAGGCAGGATGACCCAAAAAACAAGAAGAAAACTAATGATAACTGCTGAGTATCATATGCTAAGAAGTCCATGATAACACTAAAAATCTGATCTCAATACTGTACTACTGACCAAAAAAAGTTAGCTAGTGTTCAAGAGAAGAAATCCTCAACTAAGAAAAAAGTACAGTACTTTTGTACAATACACCCTCAGTTTAATGGATGGCCTAACGGAGGGAGTAAGTGGCTGGCAATGGTGATAGTGCTGGATAGAGATGAGATTGTCTTGCCATGACTGTAACAACAACAGAGAATTCTGTAACCAATGGACTTTGCCGCTGTTTCCAAATTGATTGAACCAATGGATTTTATCTCATTTTCGAAATCTGTTAAATCGAGGTCCATTAAAACAAGAAATTAATATACTGTACAGCATATTATTTTTGAATCTTATGGAGCACTTAGCAAAATGACAAACAATGATAAAAAGAACCATGCAATGTAAAGTGTAAAAATTCCTTGCTAATTACGGTACAAATTAAAATGGACTAACTTAAGAAATTCATAGGGTTGCAATATATGAAATTACAAATCAGGCATTAAAAACAATTGTCATATATCATTGAATATGAAGATTACCTAACAAAGCATTACTCCTTCACCTTTCTTTCAAGAGCTTTTCTTCTTGTTTCTTTTGCTCCTTGGCTATATTAATCATTTCCTGAACAGTGTGTGGGTAAGTAATACTTTCCCTTTCCTTTTCTGTTGCTAATTCCTCCTTACTTGGCCACAATTTTGCAGAGCTAATGCCACTAATAGCACCATAACTTCCATAAAGTTTACGCTGAAAGCGTAATGAAAGGACTTGCTCCTCATCATCTGTTAATTCTTGTATCTGAAAAATATAATTTTATTAACATATAAATCTAGATTAAAATTAAAAGAGTAATGTTAAATTAATTCCATTTTAACCCTTAAACTGTTGGCAGCCTCCAAATTAAGATCCCCTTCTGTGTCAGCATTTTTGAAAAAAAAAAAAAAACTAAAATGGTAGAGAATCTTTTTCCAAAGGTAATCACACCAAAAATGCAGAATTTGATGCAAAACTTACAGAATTACACAGGCACAAAGTTAAAGGTTAGGGCACTTTAATGAAACAACAATTTCACCCACTTTGAGGCCTCTTTTAGGTCAATTCCCTCAATCTAAATAAGATTTCCATTGTTCAAAATGGCCCAGTTTCCAGCTACATTGTTAATACACTTTCCATACTATCCACTGATCACAAGAAACTGATCACGAGAACTCAGTAACTTGACCAATTTTACACCATTTTCAACAAAAAAAAGTCATAAAAGTCATAAACCATTATCAAGAATGCTTGGTCAAGGCTTAGGTTGTCCCAATAATTTAAGTAGACCTAGTAAAGCCTATAAAACAGACAAGGAATGGTCTACCCTGTCCAAGAAAATCACTTAAATGGTCCAAACGTATATAGTATACGTTTTTTCAACATCTGAAAGTATGTAAAAAAAATGTAGATCATCTTTTTTGTTTTACATTTGAAAACGTGTAAAAAAAACTTTTATCTACATTTTTTTTTTGTTATATCAGAAAATGTGTAAAAAAAAGTAGATCTACTTTTGTAGCACTACGAATTTGAACGTCGATCTGTTTGGACCGTTTAAGGGTTAAAATCGACCATTTCTCGTTAATTTGAAGTCTATTTCAGACTGATCAAAATCTTCTCTATTTCACTAGTAAATCCCCCCCCCCAAAAAAAGTGCTTAAAAAAATGCCCCAGAGTTGCTATATTAACACAACTGTAGGGTCAGAAGCTAGCTGTTCCCATCATGCACTGCATGGGGGAGGATTTTCTTCATACTCCACACACCCACCACACAAACCCATTCTCTCTTATCTAAAACAAAATTTGCCACTTGCATGAGATTTTAGGGCTCTGTGAATTATGCGTAGATCTATGTTATGTGAATGACATGCCCATTAGTGTCAAGTGTAAGCTTCTACTGTATGCAGATGACAGTGCTCTGTTAGTGTCAGGTAAAGACCCACAAGATATAGCTAATGTACTATCACTAGAACTAAAGTCCTGCAGCAAATGGTTAGTAACAACAAATTATCTGGGTGCCCCAGTGGCTTGGTGGCTAAAGCTCTTGCTTCACACACAGAGGGCCCGGGTTTGATTCCCGGCGGGGTGGAAACATTTCGACCTATTTCCTTACACCTGTTGTCATGTTCACCTAGCAGCAAATAGGTACCTGGGTGTTAGCTGACTGGTGTGGGTCGCATCTTGGGGGACAAGATTGAGGACCTCAATGGAAATAATGCACTGACTTTCTTGGGTTATCCTGGGTGGCTAACCCTCCGGGGTTAAAAATCCGAAGAAAATCTTATCTCTATCATTACACCTCAGGAAAATGGAAGCCATACTCTTTGGCACAAAACATAAATGTAAAAGGGTAAATCATTTTAATGTCCAGTGTAATGAGGAACCCATCATTTTAATGTCCAGTGTAATGAGGAACCCATCACTTCAGTTTCCTCAGTGAAATATCTGGGAATCCCCTCTGACCAAAGCATTTCAGGAGAATTGATAGGGAACAGTGTAGTAAAGAAAGCAAATGCCAGACTTAAGTTCCTCTACAGACAAGTACAGTGTCTACCTACTGAGGCTCACAGGATCCTATGTCTAGCTCTTATACAATGTCATACAGACCACTCTTGCATTTCATGGTACTCTGCCTTAAGAAAAAAAAAACTGAAAGATAGATTACAAATCACCCAGAACAAAATGGGGAGATTCATCCTGGACCTGCGTCCAAGAGAACATGTAGGCCAGGATGAATTACAAATGGATATGCTGAATGTTGAAGACAGAATAAAACAATTGATGTTAAATCACATTTACAAAATTGCTCACAGTGTCCAGAATATCTTGCTGCCAAGTTTGTCAAGGTTGGGAACCAAAGCAATTACAGGACTAGGGGAAGGGAGCACAACTTTGTAGTACCCACAGTCAAAGGTCAATCTTTAAACACATTTTATTATACAGCAATAAAGGCATGGAACAGACTGCCTGCATATATCAAAGCCTGTCATAGCATGAACAAGTTCAAGAAAAGAATCAAAAGGTGCCTAATTAATGTAGCTACAGAAAAGGAGAGTGATTTCTTGTATAGCTAACATACAAGTACCTATTACTGTGATCTGATCCTTTCTTCAATGTTAATAACTACCTTATTCCTAGTATATCTACTTTTACTGTTTAAATAAGAAGTTATTACAAGGACCCCAATGGAAATAAGTCACTGGCTTTTTTGGGTTATCCTAGGTAATTTACAGATATGCTGCTATGTATGATAATTTATGTAACTGTATTTATGTGTACCTGTATTTGAATGAACTTCCTTACAGGACTGTTACTGATCCCATTGATGCAGAGCTATATGACTGCCATTTTAGTGGTTATATGATCTTGCATACAAATTTTTTCTCTCTTATTGAGAATACTGTATGAGTTTTCAATTTTCAATTACCGTAATAGAAACAATACACAAATAACCCGCACATAGGAGAGAGAAGCTTACGACAATGTTTTGGTCTGACTTGGACCATTTACAAAGTCACACTAACAGAAAGGAGAGAAGGGGGCAGCACACATATAGGCCAGCAGACAAGGACAAGACAAGAGAGGTAGTAGGAAAGGTAGTAGAGAGATAGTGGAAGTAGTAGAAGTAATTATAGTGGAGTCAGTCAAAGACCAAGAAAGAGGAGCACTGCAAGAGAGCTAGAGGCCCCACAAAGGGTAGGAACAAAAACACTTTGTAAGTGGTCCAAGTCGGACCGAAACATCATCGTAAGCTTCTCTCTCCTATGTGTAGGTTATTTGTGTATTGTTCCAGTCAAGGTATTGTGCCTTTTTGATATTTACAGTAACAGGAAATTATGAAATATAGAAATCCAATACCTCTCATATTTTATTATATAAAGCAATGTAATTCCAAAATAGATTTTTCAACTTGACATTCACAATTTTCAATCTTCCTGTAGAGTACATGTATATAGAAAAATCCAAATTTTAGAAACCCTGAACTATGGTTGCCTAATATCAGTAATTAATTAATGCACCATATAATTTTTTTTTACATTTCCAAAGGTTGTGGCAATTTCTACATCATCTAATTTAATCCATTGTTTGACCAGCTTCTGAAGAATAACTTTCTAGTATAATACAGCTATCCCTTTACTTCCACATTTCAATTTACAACTGTGGCCTTTTGTTTTTCCAGCTGAAGGTACAGTCATTCCTGCAAATTCACAGGAGGTGCTGTAAAACTAGAAACTGCAAATAAACTAAAATTAGGTCTACATAAATTTTGTTTCAGATTTGGGCTCCTTTTGATTCAGATACCATAGGTCTACATTATTCACTCTAAATTACATAACATTGACATTATTTCTTTATGACATGAATAAAGAAAAAAGAGAGAGATTAGGGCATGGAAAAGCCACTGAGTTCGAAAATCCTTGTATAACTGACTATTAGTTATCTGTTTTCCATTAAAAATGCAGGATAATTGAAATTCGTGAAAACAAAAGCCCACTAATTTGTAGGTACAACTGTACCTTATGCAGTCATAAGTCTCAGCCTCCTAAATGACAACAGTGTGTTACTTTCACAAATCCCTGAGGACACCCTACTCAAAATAAAATCATTAGTCCTCTAAAGTAGGTAAGTAAGTAAAATAAGCAGTAAGTAAAGTAAAATAAAGTAGTGAATGAGTGACTAAGTATGGAAGGAAGGAAGGAACCACATGGATGTATGTATATATGTACAGATATGTATGTATGTATGTGCTTACCTATTGTTATTATTATTCTCTAAGATTATATGAGCAAACTTAAGAACCTAAGCTTTAGTGATCCTTTAACAACCACATTATTATATTTAGAGGGAAGTGGTAAAGCAATGGGGACATACAGAGCTTGGGGAATGGTAGGCAATCAGGTTCGATCCAAGGAAGGGAGGACAAGTCCAATTCCTTGAATCAAGAACACCTCAGGCATCATAATTAGTAAGTTTATTCAGGTATACACAAATACAGTTACATAGATTATCACACATAGCAGCATATGTGTAGAGAACCTAGGATAACCCAAAAAAGTCAGAGTGCCTTATTTCCATTGGGGTCATGGAACCTCCCTTGATGGGAACAACCATGAGATTATTATTATTATAATCAAGAGGGAAGCACTAAACCCGTAGGATTATACAGCGCCTATGGGGGGATGGAAGGCATTCAGGCTTAATTCAGGGAACTGGAGCACAGATCCAACTGGAGCACAGATCCAACTGGAGCACAGATCCAATTCCCTAGATCAAGAGCCCCTCACCAGCGTCAAGGAGCCTTCCTTGAGGGGAACAACCATGAGAACCTTTAAAAGCCATATAAATTTTAGCAACTTCTACCGAAATATTTGCATGCTTTACCTGACTGTGATATTTTGCAAAGTGCCATTGCTTTAACCTAGATTTATTTCTCTTCTGTTCAATTATGTCCTCTTCATTTTCAGAGAAAGTTTCCTGTTGGGTTGGTGTGGTTTCTTGAAACAAAGGAGCTATGTGTGTTGAAAGCCTCCGACCGCCTCTCCTGTATCCCGCTTCTATTACACGATATAAACTCATCTTCAGCATATGTGCAGATTACTTAGAGGTTCTTTCTCTTCCCAATAACAGTGAGTTGTGATGTGGACTGACTAGTTGTGATGTCTGTAGTCACTACAGTTGCTTGTGAGAATTAACGCCCCCCCCAAAAAAAATTATAATTTTCTTCTCTTCTTCTCCAGGACACATCAGTTTCTTGAGGAGTTTCTTTTCCTTCTGATGACAGCACGAGATGGAAATTTTTGGCCGGCCTGGTTTTTTCTTTCTTTGTTGTTGTTGGGTTTGTTAGGGCCACTGACAGCTTCAGGAGTATTGAACCCGGCTTCCCGATGTTGCCCAAAGCTGGGCGATGAAAGAAAATGAACAAAAGTTCCTTTGTATATATAAAAAGAAGCTAGAAGTGCAAAATTAGATCAGGTGGACCCCCTTCCCAAGCCTCAGCAGAGCGAGACTCCCACACCCCCCACACCAAATCTCAGCAACCAAAACAGAGCGGCGGCCTGGTAATTTTGGTTAGTGTTGGTGTTATTAAGAGTTACTAAAGCTTACGCCTTATTGAGCTCTTGCTTCCCAGGAATCCGAGGAAAATATTGTGCCCAAACATGGGAGGAAATTATAAATGAAGGTACTATATGTATTTCGGCCGCTGTGCGACCCGAGAAACACATCCCCGGATTCCATTACTTACCTAATTGTGGTTACAGGAATAGAGACTCACCTCCTGGCCCCTCCTCTCTGCTGGCCATTACTGGTTCTACACTGTCCTTGCTGCATAAGCCCTATAATAACAATAATAGTAATAATAATAATAATATACCAATCATGTACAAGTTGTACATGAATGGTATACAATACCGACAAGATGAAAATTAGACACATGTGCGACATCTGGGTATCTAATTCTAGACGTTTTGCCAACCAGTGGCTTTATCAATACAGATTCTAGGACATAATTTGAAGAGAGTAGAACTATATACAAAAGATGAGGTAATCAGTCTCTCAGCCTTGGAGTTGGTGTGAAGAGGGCGTAACATCTTCATACTCATAGATGGGCCTGATATGTGCTGTGTATAAGGTCGTGAGTGCCTTCTTGTTGATATTCCTGAAAGCTACCAGTAAATTTACCTATCTTGCTTTTGCTGCATCAGTTATTCGTTTGATGTGTGCCTCAGGCGAAATGTTCACAACACTGCTAACCATAAGGTCCTCTTCCAAGGAGTTTTATAATCCCTTGTACCCGAGCCTGTACAGTTTCCGAACATCTTTAGTAAGTAAGTTTATTCAGGTATACACAAATACAGTTACATAAGAATTATCATACATAGCAGCATATGTGTAGAGAACCTAGGATAACCCAAAAAAGTCAGACAGTGACTTATTTCCATTTCTCCGATTTCACAACTTTGCATTTCCTGGGGTTAAATTTCAATTGCCACTTGTCAGAGCAATTATGCAGCTTGTCCAGATCCATTTGTAATCTTTCATAGACTACTCCTGTTTGTATTCTCCTCATTAGTTTCACATCGTCTGCCACGGCTACACCTCTGACTGTTTCCTGTCATGTCGTTAATACACAAGAAGCAGTACTGGACCAAGTACTGACCCTTGTGGAACCCCACTCGTCACACCTGCCTATTTTGACACCTCCCCGAGAGAATATTCATTAATAATAATATCTTTATTTCTACAGGTACATGTACAAGGTATACAGTCCTAGCTGACATCAATGACATACTACTATATAGAAAGCTGCTTGCTATGCAGAACATTTGGACAAATTAGGTAAATTTTGTCCCAGGATGCGACCCACACCAGACGCCTAATACCTAGGTACCCATTTTATACTGCTGGGTGAACAAGGACAGCAGGTGTCCTATGGAAACACGTCCTAATGATGTCATATGGAGGCAAAATGAGACTGTACTTGTATCTAGTAGCAATTTACATATGTTGGTTATGAGGAAGGGGGGGGGGTAGTGATCATTAGTATTATTTTTATTAGTTAATAAGTTTATTTTTAACACTGGAATGTTTTAACACTGGAACTGGAGTCCTGCAGCAAATGGTTAGTAGACAACAAACTATCATTACACCTCGGGAAAACTGAAGCCATTCTCTTTGGCACGAAACATAAACTGAGAAGGGTAAATAATTTTAATGTCCAGTGTAATGGGGAGCCCATCACTTTGGTTTCATCAGTAAAATATCTGGGAATCCCTTTTGACCCATGCATGTCAGGAGAATTGATAGGGAACAGTGTAGTAAAGAAAGCAAATGCCAGACTGAAGTTCCTGTATAGACAAGCACAGTGTCTACCTACTGAGGCTCGCAGGACCCTATGTCTAGCCCTTATACAATGCCATATGGATTACGCTTGCTCTTCGTGGTACTCTGCCTTGGCAAAAAAATTGAAAGATAGACTGCAAATCACCTAGAACAAAATCGTAAGATTCATCCTGGGGCTGGGACCAAGAGAACATGTAGGCCAGAATGAATTACAGCAGTTGGATATGCTGAATGTTGAAGACAGAGTAAAACAATTGAAGCTAAATCTTGTTTATAAAAGTGCTCACAAACAGTGTGCAGAATATCTTGCTGTCAATTTTGTCAAGGTTGGGAACCAAAGCAATCATAGTACTAGGGGAGAGAGCACAACTTTGTAGTACCCACAGTCATTGGCCAGGCTTCAAACACCTTTTATTGTACAGCAATAAAGGAATGGAACAGACTGCCCGCACATGTCAAAGCCACTCATAGCATGAACCAGTTCAAGAAGAGTGCCAAAAGGTGTCTGATGAATGTAGCTACAGAAAGGGAGGGGAATGATTTTCTATTTTTTTAGCTAACATACGTGTAAATTTTACCTTATTCCTAGTAATGACCCTCGTATTGTAGATAGTCTTAATTCAAAGTTTATTCTCTATAAAGATTACAATGCTGAGTTTACAGAATTTGGTTATTGTGTGGTTTACATGTAGTAAAATAATGATTACAGAGTGTACCACTAGAACACCTAGCAAGGCTAGGCATTTCGGGCAGACTTAGTTTAATTCTTAATTTTAAAATATTACAAATTATGAGGTAAGTTGGTATTATGGCTAAGTGACTAAATACTAGTTTGTGAGTTTAGCAATGTGAATGCTTTTGTTTTGGCACAGTACATAGTTTCAGTATTGGAGTATCACAGGATTCATTATTTTAAGATTGAGATTAATATTTCTGTTTATGGTCAAATGGGTGAGTGAGTGTAAGTGTGAACCACCAGGTGGTATTTGTGTAGTTAGTTGACGGGGTGTATCAGGGAGATAAGATGTTTTCTAATGGTAGTTTTGAAGGTGATGAATGTGTCTGCAGTTCTAGAGTTCTCAGGTAGGGTGTTCCAGATTTTAGGGCCTTTGACGTACATTGAATTTTTGTAAAGGTTTAGTCGGACACGGGGAATGTCGTAGAGATGTTTGTGTCTGGTGTTATGCCTGTGGGCTCTGTCACAACTATCAAGAAAGCGTTTTAGGTCAAGGTTGATATTGGAGTTTAAGGTCCTGTAGATGTAGATTGCACAGTAGTAAGTGTGGATGTACTGAACAGGGAGTAAGTTTAGATCTATGAAGAGTGGGGGGGGGGGGGGGTGTTGCCAGGGATGGGATTTAGCGATTATTCTTACTGCAGCTTTTTGTTGGGTTATTATTGGCTTTAGGTGTGTTGCTGCAGTTGATCCCCAAGCACAAATAGCATAGGTGAGGTATGGATAAATAAGTGAGTGGTATAGTGTGAGAAGGGCATTTTGCGGCACGTAATATCGTATCTTGGAGAGGATCCCAACCGTTTTGGATACTTTTTTGGTTATGTGTTGGATATGGGTGCTGAAATTCAGGTTGTCAAGGTATAGGCCTAGGAATTTGCCCTCATTATGTCTGGTAATTAGAGTGTTGTCGATCTTAATGTTAATTTGTGCATCTCCTGCTCTGCTAAAAAACATAATATAGTAAGTTTTGTCAGTGTTAAGCGTAAGTTTATTGGCTGTCATCCAAGTCGATATTTTGAGCACCTCCTCGTTAACAATGGTGTTGAGGGTGGCAAGATTAGGGTGAGAGATGACAAGTCGTGTCGTCAGCAAAGAGAATGGGTTTCAGGTGTTGGGATACGTTTGGAAGATCATTGATGTATATGAGGAAGAGCAGGGGACCAAGGACACTTCCCTGCGGAACTCCAGTATCAAGTGGCCGTGTTGTTGATGCTGTGTCTTTAATGGTGACATACTGATACCTATTAGTAAGGTAAGATTTGAAATAAGCAAGCGCATGGCCTCTTATACCATAATGGTCAAGTTTGTGGAGTAGGATGTCGTGGTCTACTGTGTCAAAAGCTTTTCTTAGGTCAATAAAAATTCCTAGTGGATAATGACCCTCGTGTAGTAGATAGTCTTTTTAGTAAAATAAGATGTTATCTTCATTATAGAATAATAAGAGAAAATATTATAACCTTTATATTATAATAAGGTAAAAGAACCCCAATGGAAATAAGTCACTCTGTCTGACTTTTTTGGGTTATCCCAGGTTCTCTACACATATGCTGCTATTTATGATAATTCTATGTAACTGTGTGTATTTGTAGATGAATGGTTCAGAGAACCGACATGCACATGTGTCTAATTTATCAACTGTGTGTATACCTGAATAAACTTACTTATTTCAGCATGATACATGACTGTACAAAGGAGTATAATAATTGGGCGTACATGCCAGAAGTTATTTTATTCGACTCTTTTGGTTATTCTAGGTAATTTACACATATTTTGCAGCGCTGTATAGCCCTTGTGGCTTAGCGCTTCTTTTTGATTATAATAATAATACACATATTTTACTATGTGAGACAATTGTAATCGTTCAAAAATTGTGTAACTGTATCTTACGTCCCAGCTGAGTCAACGACAACAGGGCCGGGCACGAGAAGTTGCTTGTTTACGAAATTACGACCCTAATATTTTTCATCATCAATATAGGTTATGTATTAATAGAGTTAATATGCATTTAATAATGAATATTTAAAGTAGAGTTCTTTCTTACAAATTTATAGAAAAAAAATAGATTTACAATAATATAAACTTGTGATGTGTCTATATATGTACAGTAGTGGAAATATATACAAATTAGCTACCATGAATTAATAGTAAATGCCAATTAAAGATTCAAGTAATATTTAATTATCATTTTGATATTTACATGAAAATTAGACAATTTAAATTAAAATATATATGTGTGTACGTAGGTGTGAGGCTGCCGTCCACGTCACAACAGTGAGTGTCGGCAAGTGTCAAAACTACTTTACAAGGTCTTTAGCCACTGTACATCAGGTAAAGCTCTGCCCTCACTATATAGGTTAATGTTGAAACAATAACTGAGCTTCACTGCAGAAGCTGGAGCTTTAAAAAGTAAAGTCTTAGTTTAATATCTGTGCTGTGCTTGTAAAGGCCCAGTCAATCTTCAGTCACATACGCACAAGTGTATTTCTATATACATATATACCCTATATATATTTAAGGGTTACAAGTAACTTATTCTTTATAGCTATGTGGAGTATATATCATATGCTGGCAGAAGATGAGCCTCCATTTCTGTCCCTGTTGCATTCAGTTCTTTTCCTGTTCTTCCAGTCTTTCTTCAGCTCTGTGCATAATTAGTAACATATATTGTTCCATTATATTTGTATTGTAAGTAAAGTAACGTGCAGTATTTTATCATCTCTATTCAACCGATCCATAAAACCGAAGATCATTGAACCAGTGATTGACTATGTCATTTGGTATTTTTCTTCTCATACTTATGATTGTATTTAACTATACCTGGAGAGGGTTTCGGGGGTCAACGCCCCCACAGCTCGGTCTGAGATCAGGCCTCGTGGTGAATCAGGGTCTGATCAACCAGGCTGTTACTGCTGGCCACACGTAAACTGACGTATAAACCACAGCCTCGCTAGTCAGGTACTGACTTTAGGTGCCTGTCCAGTGCCTTCTTGAAGACAGCCAGGGGTCTATTGGTAATCCCCCTAATGTATGCTGGGAGGCAGTTGAACAGTCTTGGGCCCCTGACATTTACTGTGTTGTCTCAATGTACTCGTGGCGCCCCTGCTTTTCATTGGGGGAATGCTGCATCTCCTGCCAAGTCTTTTGCTTTCATAGGGAGTGATTTTCATGTGCAAGTTTGGTACCAATCCCTCTAGGATTTTCCAAGTGTATATATCATGTATCTCTCCTGTCTGCATTCCAAGGAATACAAATCAAGGAACTTCAAATGTTCCCAATAATTTAGGTGCCTTATCGTACTTACATCTGCCATGAAAGTTCGTTGTACACTCCAGGTCAGCAATTTTTCCCTGCCTTGAAGGGGGCAGTTAGTGTACAGCAGTATTCTAGCCTAGAGAGAACAAGCAATTTGAAGATAATCATTATGGACTTGTCATCCCTAGTTTTGAAGGTTCTCATTATCCATCCTGTCATTTTCCTAGCAGATGCAGTAGATACGTTGTTGTGGTCTTTGAAGGCGAGATCCTCTGACATTATCACTCACAGGTCCTTCACATTACATTTTTTGCTCTGTTATATGGTTAGAATTTGTTGATACCCTGATACAGTTTTAATTTCCTCAAGTTTCCCATATCTGAGTAGTTGAAATTTCTCTTCATTGAACTTCATATTGTTTTGAGTTGCCCATTTGAAGATTTGGGTGATGTCCACTTGGGGTCTTGTGGTGTCTTCGATGGAGGACACTGCCATGGTAATTCGGGTGTCATCTACAAAGGAAGACAGGGAACTATGGCTTACATCTCTGTCTGTGCCAGATATGAGGATGAGGAATAGGATGGGAGCGAGTACTGTGCCTTTTGGAACAGAGCTTTTCACTGTAGCTGCCTCTGACATTACTCTGTTTACTATTACTCTTTGTGTTCTATTTGTCAGGAAGTTATAGATCCATCTACCAACTTTTCCTGTTATTTCTTTATCATGCATTTTGTGTGCTATTTCACCGTGGTCACACTTGTCGAAGGCTTTTGCAAAGTCTGTGTATACTACATCTGCATTCTCTTTATCCTCTATAGCATCCAAGACCTTGTCATAGTGAGCCAGTAGCTGGGACAGGCAGGAGCGACCTGTTTTAAACCTGTGTTACCGTGGGTTGTGTAATTGATGGGCATGAAGGTGGTTGGCAGTCTTGCTTCTTAGAACCCTTTTAAAGATTTTTATGAAATGGGATGTTAGTGCTATTGGTCTGTAGTTCTTTGCAATTGCTTTACTGCCACATTTGTGGAGTGGGGTCATGTCTGTTGTTTTTAGTGAGTGTGGGATGACCCCTGTGTCCATGCTCCCTCTCCATAGAATGCTGAAGCACATGACAGGGGCTTCTTTCAGTTCTTGATGAACACGGAGTTCCACGAGTCTGGACCTGGGACAGAGTGCATGGACATGTCATTTATTGCCTTATCAAATTCTTGTGGTGTTAGGATAATATCAGAGATTTTTGAGAGGACCAAATTTTGGGTTTCATTCAGAATTCATTTGGATTGTTGACCCTTAGTCTGGGTAACGGCTCACTGAACACTGAGTTGTATTGAAGCTTTAGTATCTCACTCATTTCTTGGCTGTCATCTGTGTATGCCCCATCTTGCCTAAGCAGGGGCTCAATATTGGATGTTGTTTTTCCCTTAGATTTGGCATAAGAGAAGTAGTATTTTGGGTTTTTTTTCAACTTCCTTTATGGCTTTTAGTTCTTCCTGCGATTCTTGTCTCCTGTAAGATTCCTTCAGTTTAAGTTCGGTATTTGCTGTTTCATTGACCAGTGTTTCCCTTCAGATATATTGGCCCTTCTCAGCAGGTCTGTGATTCTTCACCTTCATCTCTACAGGGTCTCTCTTTATAGTTTACATGTTCTTTCTTTTCCTTAATGGAATATACCTTGAGCAGATCTCAAAAACTACAGTCTTAATGAATATTTTTATTTCTTTGTGCAGTCTGTGTCTAGTTCTGTAGCAATAACCCTTATGATTAGTTGCCTGAAATGCACTGCATAATTAGGTGGCTTTCTTTTTTTTTTTTGCCCACTGTTGTACCGATTCATGTATCTACACATTGTTTGTATGGCTCAGCTTTGAGAAATAAATCTTTATAATTATTATTAACCTCTCCCCAAATTAGTTGCATTGTTTCACTTTAAGATTTGTTTGGAGTTTTAATCCAGAAGGTTAGCCACCCAGGATAACCCAAGAAAGTCAGTGCGTCATTAAGGGCCCCTGGCATGAATAATGTATGTCTACATGATGGACAGTGAGAGGGTTAAACCATTCTTTACCATTCTAAATTTATTTGTTCAAAGCTGAATGCAAGTATAGTATACTACTTAATAAATGGTTTAAAATGAATCTCAAAGCTTCATGTAGCAAGCAGAAACCCATCCAGTTTTGAGAACTTGCCAATCTGCTAGGTTTTCCATTAATACATTTTTTGTATTTGTTTAAATTTAATAATAATGAAAATAATACGTATTTAAGTCTACAAGTACAGTGGACCCTCGACCAACAATATTAATCCGTTCCTGAGAGCTCATCGTTAGTCAAAATTATCGTTAGTCGAGTTAATTTTCCCCATAAGAAATAATGGAAATCAAATTAATCCGTTCCTGACACCCCAAAGTATTGACAAAAAATTTTTTTTACCACATGAAATATTAATTTTAATACACACAAACTGAAGAAAACATGTACAATTACATGACACTTACCTTTATTGAAGATCTGGTGATTGATGGGATGGGAGGAGGGGAGAGTGTGGATGGTGTTAGTGTTTAGAAAGGGAATCCCCTTCCATTAGGACTTGAGGTGTCAAGTCCTTTTATGGGGTTACTTCCCTTCTTCTTTTAATGCCACTAGGACCAGCTTGAGAGTCACTGGACCCCTGTCGCACAACATATCTGTCCATAGAGCTCTGTACCTCCCATTCCTTTAAGATTTGTCTAAAATGGGCCATAACATTGTCATTGTAATAGTCACCAGCACGGCTTGCAATAGCTATGTTAGGGTGATTTTCATCCATAAAGGTTTGCAGTTCAACCCACTTTGCACACATTTCCTTAATCTTTGAAGTAGGCACAATGGATAGCCCCAAACCCTTCAAAATCTTTCTTAATTTCCATACTAATTCTCACCCTTTTTATCACAGGGTTGGCACTAGAAGCTTTCTTGGAGCCCATGGTGACTTATTTTGCAGGTGCAATCACTAAAAACGCTGTGATAATATGAAATGTTCCAATTGTATGTTTGGATGCGACCGCGGCTGGCTGGCTTGTAAACACTGGCACGCACAGGACAAGTGAGGCGCGCTCAGTGTTGGTAGAGTCTTTTAGCACTAGTCGAGGCAAAATTTTTGCATTAAAATGTATCGCTAGTTGGATTTAACGTTATACGATGCCATCGTTGGTCAAGGGTCCACTGTACATGATACAATATTTTTTTTTATATTTTCATGGTTCACTGAATGTTAAAAAATAAATTAAGCCCATCACAAGTATGTGACACTTGCTTTGGCAATTTAACCCCTGTGAATTTTGGAGTTTCACTACGTTATTTAATAAACCAGGAGTTTGCTATGGCAGTTTACAAGAGATACCCTGTATGTCTGCATTTACTTTGGTGAATAGTAGTAGCAGCAGTTCTGATGGAGTTGTAGCCTGACATTGTGTAAAGTACAGTACTGTACTATAGAATGTAAAGTATTTTGCAGGATGTACAGTATTTGTAATTTTGTTTCACCAGCTCATTATTCATATAAGATATTTGAAAAAGTTTGTACAGTACTTTTTTTTGCATATGTTATTTTTGTCTTACTTTCAGAGTTGCTCCTTGTTGATGACTACATAATGTTAACAAAATTTGAGACGAAGAGTGCAAGAGTGAAGGGCTTATCCTTCCATTCCAAGAGGCCCTGGGTTCTAGCCAGGTAAGACACATTTAAGGTATATTTATACACAGATGTTTATAATAAGAGTTCAGGTGCATTAACACATTTCCAACATAACTGTGTACAGAATCCTGTGGTATTACCAAGTTATACACCATGTGATGTTCTTGTTACAACACAGTTGAACTGAAAAATAGGAGAAAACTTGGTTCAGCTCTGCCTTGGATGTCTCTTGCATGAAAAAGTAAGGAGCAATGCATGGGAGAAGGGATTGAAAGCTTCTTGGGCTTTGTGAAGACAGTAGCATCACAGCTGGTGCTGCTGATGCCATCATGTCGTGGAAATGCTGTCTGTGAAATGTTCATGTTAAAAGTTTGTATGCAGTTCAGTGTTTTTCAGGAGTTTATTTACATTACCAAGCATGTGAAAATCTACTTACATACTGTATTGTGTTTTAGTTATGTATTTGAATGTTGATATTAATATTCCTTGAAGTTGGGTAAAAATGTCATCATAAGTTTCTTTCCCCTATATGTGGGTTATTTGTGTATTGTTCCAGTTGTGATATTGTGCCTTTATTCTTTAGCTGAGGGCTACTGATGGTAGATTGTTTTATAAAGTTTAGGTTTTGAAATCTCTGCATCCTGGTACAAAGTGATCGTACACTGTAGTACTGTACTGTATTATGTGAATTCATTTTTCAAGAATGGCATGGTGAGCAGTGTTAGACATGATGTTCTTAGATTCTTGGGTACAGTACTCTAATCATTTAGTCTCTGACTTAGAATGGGAATTCTTCTAAATTGCCAGTGGATATTTTTTACAGACTCTGTGATTCTTCGCCTTCATCTGTATAGGATATCTCTTTATAGTTTACATGCTCTTTCTTTTTCTTAATGAGAATATGCCTTGAGCAGATCTCAAAAACTACAGTCTTACGGAATATTTTTATTTCTTTGTGCAGTCTGTGTCTAGTTCTGTAGTAATAACCCTTACGATTAGTTGCCTGAAATGCACTGCATAATTAGTGGCTTTCTTTTTTTTGCCCACTGTTGTACCGATTCATGTATCTACATTTCAAGAAATAGCACCAGCCCTATTACTGATCCCTGTGGAACCTCGCTTGTCACATGCACCCATTCTAACACCTCTTCATGGACCATCACTCATTGTTTCCTTCTTATCAGGAATGCCTTGATCCATTGGAGTGCTTTAATGTATTTAATGTAGTTTAATTGTTTAATTATCTGACTTAAAGAAGGTTGGAGAGATAGACAGAATGTTGGCTGTATGATTGAAATATTGACTAAATCTAACAGAATTTTGAATTGTTTATTAACTAATTACAGCATTATTACACTTCATTAAGAAGAAAAAAAGTAATTTCCAATCCATTTTTTACAAATTTATAGTAAGGAAATATGAGGCCGTCACACATGCATAAAATGAAAATACACAATTATTAATGCATTTGATACAAAAATAGTGGTTAAACATTTTAGACAATTGCGTTACTTATTATCCCTATATTTTGGAGAGCAGTTCTACTCTTCCAAGCTTTTACTATAATGACTTTTCACTCTTGTGACTTTTATTGAGTAATGTAATTTGATAAAGCTTTCCTTAAGAAGAATATCATGACCCTGTTTCATATGTCCTTGTCATCTACTTGTTGCCTTTTCTACCTGTCTGTGTTGAAGTTAACAGGTTGTGAGCTTTCTCTTTCAGTTTTTTTAATTTTGGGTTTCTTACTAAAGGTCTTCAACAGCTATTCCTTTGAAATATGGTACTGGTGATGACTCCTAAGTCATTCATGCAACCCAAAAACAGAATATGTTTTGAATTGTGAAAAACAATGTTGTGGGGAGTTTCACGAACCACAATGTCCACTGCGGTGTGGTACTAAGCAGTATCAACAGCAGATGCTAGTAGTGACCCTAGGCATGTAGATGTTAACTGTGTTTACTGGGTGAAATATGGTTTGAGGGTTTTTAGTATTAGAAGGGTGTATAGGCAGGTTGCAGTTTCCAAAGTGGTTCATAGAACCTACCTCATACAGTACATACTTTAGAACACTATAATCTAATGGCTGTTTTCAAGTTTGTCAATCGGAGAATAATTTTATCAAATATTCATTAGCACTTTCACTGACCAGACCCCTGAAATTAATATTGCTCCCAGTGTCCACTTTTCTAATTATTTTTTTCTTCTGAAATGGTGGAGATTCATTTGATGGAGAACTTGTGGAATTGTGTGGGAGCAAAGCTAGATCTGTTTGTAGCTTTTCCGTCTCGCTGCGTTGTTTTAGTTTTCTGTGCTGGGATACCTTTGATGATCTTATAGTAACATTGGAGGTTCGTTCACAGGGGTTTCTGACCTGTTTTTATTTAGCTCTTGTTAGTATTAAAAGCCTTTCAATTCAAGGAAAAATTTTCACCATTCCCCCCCTCACTGACGATCTCTAATTAATATTGCTCATTCCCTTTATTTATCTTTTTTTACTTCTGATATTGGTTGCTTTCATTTCTATAGACTTTGGAATTGTTGACAAAGCTTAGATCTTTTCTTTTCTCTGTCCTCTCTCTTCTTTTCTTTTCATCTTCCTGTCCTCTGACTCTATCTCATCATTCATTAACTTTATGCTTACCCTGTTTATTCCTGTCTGCTCTCTCTGTTTTTTTTATCATCTCTTTATGGACTGTTCTAAAGTCTTCTCTCTTCAAGAAATGCTTTCTACCTATTCCTCCCCCCCTCTCTTCTCTATCTCTCTTCCTTTCTCTATCTCTCTCTCTCTCTATCTCTTCTCTTCTCTATCTCTCTCTCTCTCTACTCTCTATCTCTCTCTCTATCTCTCTCTCTATCTCTCTCTTATTCTCTCTCTATCTCTCTCTATCTCTATCTCTATCTCTCTCTATCTCTCTATCTCTCCTCTCTCTTCTCTATCTCTCTCTATCTCTCTTTCTCTATCTCTCTCTCTATCTCTCTCTCTCTCTCTTACTCTCTCTACTCTCTCTCACTCTCTCTCTTCTCTCTCTCTACTCTCTCTCTCTCTCTCTCTCTCTCTCTATCTCTCTCTCTCTATCTCTCTTCTCTCTTCTCTCTCTCTATCTCTCTCCTATCTCTCTCATCTCTCTCTCTATCTCTCTCTCTCTATCTCTCTCTCTATCTCTCTCTCTCTCTCTCTTTTTTTCTTTTTTTTACACAGGGTTTGACAAGGTTAAGGATCCCTAACTTTATTTACAAGCTATTTACAGGTTAAGGATTCCTAACTTTATTGGCAGCTAAGAGCTGTTACCTACATCAGCTCATTTGAAAGCATTTTTATTGTTATGAGACATACAAGTAGGGAACAGGATGAAGTTGGAGCCATCTGTGGGCCAGCATTTTCATTTGATCAACTGACTTTATCTCGTTGACATCATTATGCTGTACAAATGTGTTCCATACTCGAGTCATCCTGGGTATGTATGATCTCAGATGGAGTGATGTTCTGGAGAAGGGTACAGCCAGAGTGAAGTTGCTGCTTTCTGCCGTCTTGTGGCATAAAAGCTTGTTTCACGCTGTCCTCGAAGTGGATCCAAGTGTGGTATTTTGACAATATTGGCCTTGTACATAACAGAAAGGCCACCCACATCCCTCCTATGTTGAAGGCTCTGCTGAAATGATAGATCTATCCAGGATGGGTCCAGGCGAGAGATGAGACGTCTTGCTCTGTTCTCTACTCTGTCAAGCAGTCGCAGATGAGAGGGGGGGCAGGCAAACCAAGAAAGTGGAGCATACTCAAGGTGTGAGTGTACTTGTGCTTCGTACAGGATCTTGCAACCCCTACTGTCAAGCAGATGCGAGATACGGCGAAGTGCTGTAAGCTTCCTGGCTGCCTTGTTTGCAAGATTTACAACATGGTTCTTCATGGTTAGTTTGGAGTCAAATTTCACCCCAAGGATATCAACTTCTCCAGGTGCCAACATCCTCCCATTCATCCTTACTACTGCCCCAGCATTACCATCATGGTGCCTAGAGACGATCATCATTTGCATTTTCTCAGGTGCAAATGTTACTTGCCATCTATTTCCCCAAGCTGATACAGCTCTCAGCTGGTGATTGATGTAGCTTAGAGCAGCTGGCATTTCTTCTCTTGGATTAGTGAATGTCAGTGTACAGTCGTCTGCATATGCATGTGATTCTGGGATGAGATGAAGGTCGTTGAAGTAGACATTCCATAACAATGGACCCATCACGCTTCCTTGTGGAACACTTGCCCCAATAGGATGTCTTGCTGATTCCGTTCCATTGAGAACTACACTTAGAGATCTACCATGAAGGTAATCACTGAGGAGACATAGCGTAGAGCCTCCAATTCCCAGTGCTTGAAGTTTTGCTAAGAGGCCCTGGTGCCACACCCGGTTGAAAGCGCCAGCAATGTCCAGTGCTACCACACAGCTGACTTTGGATTCATCCAGTGACTGGTGCCACTTAGTGGAGAGGTTTAACAACAGATCAGCAGCAGAGTAACCTTTCCTGAAGCCATATTGACGATCACAAAGTAGTGAGTGGTAGTCAAAAAACTCTCTCTCTCTCTCTCTCTCTTCTTCTCTCTCTCTCTCTCTTCTCTCTCTTTTCTCTCTCTCTCTCTCTCTCTCTCTCTCTCTCTCTCTTTCTCTCTCTCTCTCTCTTCTCTCTTCTCTCTCTCTTCTTCTTTCTCTCTCTCTTTCTCTCTCTCTTCTCTTTCCTTTCTTCTTTCTCTTTTTTCTCTCTTTCTCTCTTTCTTTTCTCTCTTCTCTCTCTCTTTCTCTTTCTCTCTCTCTTTCTCTCTTTTTCTCTCTTTCTCTTTCTTTCTCTCTTTCTCTCTCTCTTTCTCTCTCTTCTTTCTCTCTTTCTCTCTCTCTTTCTCTCTCTCTTTCTCTCTCTTTTTCTCTCTCTCTTTCTCTCTTCTCTCTCTTTCTCTCTTTCTCTTTCTCTCTCTCTCTCTTTTCTCTTTCTCTCTTTTCCTCTCTCTCTTTCTCTTTCTTCTCTCTCTTTCTCTCTCTTCTCTTTCTTTC